GGATTTACTCTGATCACTGAATCCCTCACTCAAGTTGGCACACATAGAAAATGTTTCCAGGACCGAAGTGAGTAAGTAATAAATCAGCATTAGCATTTTAATAGGTATGACCATCTTTCCCCCCAGATTAGATCTTTATCAGTTTTGGCATCCAGTTAAAAACTGCCCCATTAAATATCCCATCATATCCAATTTTATTTTATTTTCCCTTGCTGTGAACTTTAACATGCTTTGGTGAACTAAATTCATCATTCTGTTTCCGCAGAGGCCAATTCTGTCTTCTTCTTGCTGCTTGTCTGACGTGCTGTAGCAGATGCCGACACAGCAGAACCAAAAAAGAGTTAGAATAATACCACAGATCCAGGAGCTTAAACAGAAGTGGGAAAGGGAGCAAGGGGCATCATCACGTAAGTGTCAACACTATGCAACCATACAGGGAAATTAATCCCTGTAGCCAGGACAATAAACTCTTTATTTAATGTAAAACAAAAAAAAACCACCCCTGGGCTTTATCCACAGGAAAAGAGGCCTTCATTATGTTGCTACTAATATTTTCCTTCCTATACACTACTGCAGGCTGTGAAATCATCCCTGCTTCTCTTTATGGGGTTAGAACACTTTCCTGTTCAATTTATCCATATTAGTGTGCTATTAATATATTTCATAGTCAGTTTGTAAGCTGTCTCCCCACCACCACCCGCTGCCCCTTTCCCTCTAACTCATTTGCTGATGGGATGAAGAACATTCATTTTCCCTCACACACTGTTATATGTTATAATTGGAATGCCTAATGCACTATAGCATCGCTTTGGATACAGTGCTAAATATAACACAAGCTGGACCACAGGAGCTGTAATTATGATTTGTTGTCCCCAAGCATGTTTGGGATGTGGGCTGTCAGACTGTGTAACATCTTCCAACTCAGGCAAAACAAATTAAAACCAGAACAAAAAAGTACTGGGAAATTGTTGAGGGTAGAGGTTGAGGAAGGGGTGCTGTGGATTAAAAATTGTTCAGGGGAAGTTACAGTTGCATTTCAAAGGCCTTTTTAAGGATAGGCCCTGTAGGGACTGGGGATGTGCACAGCATCTCCTTTTTTATCATATGTGCCAAAGTTATAACAGATAAAAGATATCACCCCCATATTGTAGACTGTTACAATTCTAGCTTGCAAAGCAGGCACAGGACATGCATTTGCCTGTGTGCATTTATTTATATCCTGTCTTTCTCCCACAATGGGGACTCAAAGCAGTTTAAAACAACCCTTCCACTTTCCTCTGTTCTCTCACAACAACATGCCTGTGAGGTGGGTTAGGCTGAGTGAATGCAACTGGCCCAAGGTCACCCAGCTAGTTTTCATGGTAGAAGTGGGCATTCAAACCTGGGTCTCCCAGGACTATATTCTGACACTGTATCCATATGCACAGATGTGCAAGCCCTTTTTTTCTTAGTGGGTGCAACTCCGGAGAATGCAATACCTTGAGCAAACAGGAGCCACTGCTTTTTAAGAATCAAAGCCTACCTCAAGCCAGTGAGCCAGCAATGTGACTGGGGAAAATGCTTTGGAATGATAGTGCAATTGCCTTCAGTGGCCAGATCTGCATAATTCTGCTGACTAGAACACATCCAGAAGTGGCAAAATCCAGCAAGGGCAGACATCATTCAAAGCACTAATTGGATTGCTATTGCATAGAGCTCTGGGTTATTGTACAAAATACTGTATTTAAAGCAACTTAAATGTGGGCAAAATTTCTGCCACAAATCACAACTTGACTTTTTTTGCAATTCCAGAACAATTTTTTTTGAAGTTTTCAGGAAACCAGGTCACTTTCTCACATTTGTGAATATACTATTTTTTTCAAGAAGGAGAAAAAAACCCCAACAACAACACTGCCTCTGAAGCATCATCAGTGGTGGGAGATATGGATAATGATACAGTCAGTGTAAAAAAAAACCCCACCCAGATCAGTGTAAGAGGACTTATTGAAAAAGAGTCAGTGACAAAATTTTATAGCCAGTCAAAGCAGAAGGTAACATTGGGGGGTGGGTGGGTGTTACTCAATAGCAGCAACAGCCCTATTAAAGCATGGAAATTTCAGAGCATCGATACCAACAATTGTTGATATTATACTCTTGACTGAACACTGTCTCCTTTTTTAATGGAAATGTTTTTTTAAATCTTCACTGGAAAGAAAATAGCATTTAATTTATTTATTTATTTCACAAAGGCACATAGGGTAGCTTACGGACTGAACTGCACACATCCTTTGCTCCTTTTGGGTACCTTTGCTCAGCTCTAGGAAGGAGGCTTTGATTTGTGGTGTGGTACCATGCCTGGCCCCTGACCTGAATGGCCCAGGCTAACCTAATCTCATCAGATTACAGAAGGTAAACAGGGTCAGCTTGCGTTAGTACTTGGATGGGAGACCACCAAAACAATCCAAAATTGCTATGCAGAGGCCAGTAATGGCAAACCACCTCTGTTTGTCTCTTGTTTAAAAAACCCACAGGGTTGCCAGAATTCAGCTGCAAGTGGAAGGCACTTACCACCACCACCACCACCACCACCACCACCACCACCACCACCACTATGCCTGGGCTTGTACTCATTTCACCACCACCACCACCCTATCCTAAGACCCATTCTCCAAATGAATATCCTATAAAACAAGCTGCTTCAGGCTGACTTCCTGTTCAGTTCCACAATTCAGAGAACAGGGATGTGAAGATCAAGGTTTGTAATGGAGGATGCAACTGGCAAACAGTGACAGGTTTGGCTGGGTTCAATGAGAGCCTTGTGCTTTTCATTGGAGAGACCAGAGGAAGTTGTGGAGGCAAGCTTCAAAATTACCTATCAAACTTTATTTCATACTTCCTCCAAGAATCTCAGAATAATTCTTCACTTTTTCCTCTCTCAAGAACCTGTGAGGTAGCTAGGGTCAAAAGTTTGACCCAAAGTTACCCTGTGAGTTTCATGGTTGACTGAGGATTTGAACCTGGGTCTCCCAGTCCTAGTCTGTCATTCTAGCTACATTCCCTAATGCTGTAGTCTTCAAGTCATGGGTCAGGACTCTCAGACACTTCACAGATTCCCACATGCTAGGTCATGTTCTTACAGAATGGTAATTTCCCCCAGTTTCCAGAAGGCCCTAGTGCTAGGGGAAATGCACAGAGCAAAAGGTGAACTTACTCATCAGGGGAGGAACTCTTTTTGCACAACTACATTCAGAGGCTTTCGTTCCTATTCTTTCTGTCACATGATTGGTGTGTGAAGTGATTTCCTGCCATGTGCTGGCTATTTAATGGGCCCCATACTGGCACCTGGAATTAAAATTAGGCCCCTGGTCTAGGAAGGCTGAAGACTACTGCCCTAATTACCTTTTGCAGTTCTGCGGGGCCTGCAAGATGGAGCTCTTCTGCCAGGCTTTCAACTATGAGCTGTCCCTCCACTATTACCATCAATGAGCCTGGCCCTCGGTTTTTAACATCTGCTCATTTCCATCAAGTGACACGGGACGACAGAGAGCTGGAACTTTGCAGTTGTCTAGATACCTGAATGCACCATTGTAAGTAATGAATTATACAATCAACTAGCACTTTAGGATTTTATATGATTTTATATTTTTATTAAATACTGTACTGCTGTATATTGTTTTATTGGCAATTGGTGCCACTGTTGTAAGCCACCCTGAGTGCAGAGAAGGTGGGGTAGAAATTGCATTAATAATTTTTTAAAAAATAAAATAAAATAATTAGCTATTAGAAAAAGAAAGGACCATTGTGGAAGAGAGGAAAAGAAGGAGGAGGAGGAGTGGGGGGAGGAGATTGGATTTATACCCTGCCTTTTACTATGTGAAGGAGTCTCAGAGTAGTTTACAATCTCCTTCTCCTCCTCTCCCCACAACAAACACCCTGTGAGGTAGGTGGGGCTGAAAGAGCTCTCTTGAGAGCTGCCCTTGAGAGAACAGCTCTGAAAGAACTTATTACTGACCCAAGGTCACACCAGCAGCTGCATGTGGAGGAGTGGGGAATCAAACCCAGTTCTCCCATATTAGAGTCCGCACACTTAACCACTATACCACTACACCAAGCCAATAGGAGAGGTGGGAAGAAGTCTCAGAAATGTAGCTAAAGCTACAACTGGCCATGAAGGTAATGCAAAATGTTTGTATTTCACTGTCAGAAGACTTGGAATGTTGCCCTTACCTAAAGCACAATGTTCATCACATGAAATTGCCTTATGACGAGTCAGACCATTTTTCTATCAAAGTCAGTATTGTCTACTCTGACTAGCAGCAGCTGTCCAGGAACTTACAAAGAATAGTTGCTGGGATGTCAGTTGTGGTTTTGGAAAAGGAAGTGACATCACAACAAATTTTCAGATCTCTATGGTATCATTTCTGGACTACATTAAACTCTAGATTGCCAATTTCACAATGAACTACTGGAATACAAAAGTCATTTAGTCATAATAGAAATATCTACTGTTATCTCCAAAATTTTGCTTGAAGTCAGCCCTTCCGCATTATGTATCCCTTCCATTTCTATGCTTTTCAATTCCTTTACCCTAGTCTCTAACAATGATTTTCCAGAACGCTTCCAATGGTATCTTCCCTCCGCCTTCTTTAAACGAATATGCTGTATTGAGAAGGGATACCTCCTTTCTGATATTATTAACAACTGTGGCATTGAAGCGGCCCTCAAATGCATATTTTTCCAAAAATTTGAGCTTCATGCAAGTTAATATATATTTTATGTAGGGA